GTTTATGCCCAGTAGTGGGATTGCTGGGTCATGTGGTAGTTATTATTTTTAGTTATGTAAGGAGCCTCCATACTGTTCTCCATAGTCACTTTATCAATTTATATTCTGACCATCAGTGCAAGAGTGTTCCAATAGTCTTTATCCTAGTCTATTTTGTCTTGGGTTTCCTTGGTGACTCAGTAAAGAGGTAAAGAATCTGCCTGCCAATGGAAGAGGCATGCATTTGATCCCTTGGTCAGGACTATCCCCTGGAGAAGGAAATGGCAACCCATTTCAGTATTCTTGCCTGGAAGATCCACTGGACAGAGGAACCTAGAAGTTTACAGTCCAGGGGGTTGCAAGAGTTGGACTTGACTTAGTGACTAAACAGCAACAACAACATTTTTTCTTATATGAGTATGACTACTCCAGCTTTCTTTTGATTTCCATTTGCATGGAATATCTTTCCATTCCCATCAGTTCTTCTTTTCTAACAATTTTATAGATTTTCTTTTTTTGCCTTATACTTTAAATCTATTCACAGGTATATTAGGAGGTTAATTGTTATACCTTTTTTGATCAATTTTAATTTATTTATTATTGTAATATATAGGTCTAAGTTTGTAAATCTTTTGAATATGTGTCTTATCACTTTATTACCCACAAGATATAATTTTTCTTCATTAATATAAAATTTTTAATGAGTAAAGATTCTTTTGGAATTTGTGATACTTTACATAAGTATCACATATACATAGTGTTTATTAGTTATTAGTATTTATCATGTATACATTCTAATATGTCATAACAGTGTTTAAACCAAGGTTTCTTGACTTTGGCACTACTGATATTTTGAGCCAGACAAGTCTATGCCATGCTGGGCTATCCAGTGCATTGTAAAAGGTAAATAAAATGATATCCCTGGTTTTCACTAGACTCCAAAAGCATTACCCACTCCTAGCTGTGACAACCAAAACTATTACCACTCATTAAAAAATGTTTTCCATGTCACAAAATTATTCTTGGTTTAGAATGATACTTTACATCAATTTAATCCTCACAATACCCACAATATCCTAAGTCAAGTAAGTAATATAAAATTCTACCACCTGTGAACAGTTCTAAAAGTACATTTTGGTTTGCCTAAACTCTTAGCCATTGCACTTTACTACCTCTCACACTGAGTCATCTGGGACATCAATAACATGCAACTTCAAATGAAAGAACTGGTTTAATTTGCCTAGAGTCACTTGATTTTTAAATGAGAATTTAAAAACTCCCACGTGATTTTTAAATGAGAAATGAAAGAAAATACATCCCAGCTCTAGAGTACCCAAGAAGAGAAAGCAGCTGGAAGTTAACCTCATCAGAGATGTAATTCAGAAAGAGCCTGATTATTAGACAATGTGTCTGCTCCTCCTCCTTCCCACTTTCCTCATGCTCATTATTTTAATTGCCTGAAAGGCACACTTTGTGCTTTAGAGAAAATCTAGCACAGTGACTTGAGCAGAGTCAGCATTTTGGAATTACATATTGTGTTGAATTAATTGGAAAATGCTTTTTGGATTCTTCATGGGTTCCCAGTGAATCCATTTTTTGGCCTCCTTATCAAAGATGAAACTATGAGCTTTTGACTTAATCTGTTTTTCTATATTTATTACCTGATTCTTCTGGATACCCAAACAAGTGCTCACACTGGGATGGTGAAGAGAAGGAAGTGGGGAAAGCAGTTCTTCTGGCCTCCAGAAAAGGCCAGATCTCATTGGGTAAGCGGTCAAGTTATAAACAGAGGAAAACCAGAGGTCACAAGGCTGAGAAGGAGCAAGTAGAGAAATTAGGGATATGATGAAAATCAAGGCAGCTGAAATTTAATTGATTCTGTCTGGCCTTAGCCACTCACTGACATTGGAGCCTCCCAGTCTTTCTGGGTCTAAGTTTTCTATCTGTTAATACATACAGTGTAAATATATAATTTCCTTGAAAGATAAAGATTGGTACAGAGTAGACTAATTCAGACAACCCGAGAATACACTGGGTTACACCTAATGGAATGGTGGTGGTGGTTTAGTTGCTAAGTTATGTCCAACTCTTCAGACCTGGGGCTGTAGGCTGCCAGTTTCCTCTGTCCATAGGATTTCCCCGGCAGGAAACTGGGAACGGGGTGGGTTGACATTTCCTTCTCCAGGGGATCTTCCTACTCCAGGGACTGAACCCATGTTTCCTGCATTGCAGGCAGATTCTTTACTGCTGAGCCACCAGGGGCTTCCCACACCTAATAGAAGATTTTGGCCTAATTCTTACATATAACTTTAATAATACTGCTAGCTATGTTATTTGCACTTTGCCTATTTTATGAGATTGTTGTTTCCTGCATTACCAAATGTGTGGCTGAATCTCCAACAAAATAATAATAACTAGGTGACTTGGAGCAGTTGATCAAATACATAGTTCTGTATGCAATCAATAATTGTAATTACTCTAGATATGGAAGGATACAAACAGGAGGAAATTTTTCCTGGACTGTAAGAGGCTGAGTAAGACAGGTTGGTCCAGCCCTTTGGTTACTGTTGATAGTAACAGTACACTGACTGGCCTATCAGCAAAATCCTCGCCAGACCTAAGAATGAGTTCCTTGCTCCATGGGATGAAACGGGCATGAAATGCCTCCCAAAGTATGGTCGAATTTGTAACCATGAGGGGGCCCTGTCAACTACAAATTTTCACCTACCTCTACAAGAATGAAATCATGAACTGGGGCAGCTGCTGATTTTCAACATCCCCCGAAAAATGTTCAGGGTGGAGAGCAAAAATGAGGCACTCTGGGCTCAGGGAAAAGCTGGCAGAATGGGTTTTCAGATAGATATTTTTAGGAACTGATTTTATGAGCCTAATTTTTGTACCTCCTCATATCTAGAAAAGCACTAAAATCCTTCATGGTGACAGCTGTTCCTTGTGACTAGCAGAAAATTTCACCAGACTAGCAGAAACCTTCTGGAAAAATATGTACTTGATTATATATATTCCCTCTTCACCAAAACCAAATATATATACTGACCTTCCCTCTCCCTGCATATTTGGAGCAATTTCTCAGAGCCATCTGAGGTGCTGTCTCCCAGCCTACAGTCCTCATTTTGCCCCCAATAAAACTTAACTAACACAACAACAACAACAACAAAAATACCTACAGTCTAGATAAGGCCGTGATGTACAGGGCTTGGGGAGAGGAAGCATACCCTCAATAGACTCCTGTCACACTGAGTATTATCTATGGTAGGTGCCCAAATAATTATTTTTAAAATGGACAATATCCAGCGAAGCGGCACTTTACAGTTTATGATGCACTTTCACATGCTTTATCTCAGTTGATCCTCTTAGTGATTGCATGGGATAGGCCAGGTATTATTATTTACATTTAAGAGATTATGAAACAAGCTTGGAGATAATGGTCAGCATTAGAGGTGCAAAGACAGCTTTCAGTTTTCTAAAACACAATGTACTTTCTCTTCTGCACCATGATGCTGCTTAGGAACAAGAAAAAAATATTCCTCTCTCTCAATAGAGCTGTTCTTTGGATTTCATCATCAGCTCACCCAGATAGCCTCACCAGACCCCTATATGCAGCATCCCTCTTATGGGGTACACTCTATGCTCCTGAACATCATGAACTTAACTCTACATTGCACAAATTATAATGTCTAATTGGGCTTCCTGGGTGGCTCAGATGGTAAAGAATCTGCCTACAATGCAAGAGACCTGGGTTCGATCCCTGGGTTGGGAAGATCCCTTGGAGGAGGGTATGGTAACTCACTCCAGTGTTCTTGCCTGGAGAATCCCATGAACAGAGGAGCCTGGCGGGCTATAGTCCATGAGGGTCTCAAAGAGTCAGACCCGACTAAAGCGACTAAGCACACATAGTGTCTAACTAGTTATCCGCCTCTACTACTAGACAATAGCTTCTTGAAGGCAGAGCCTGAATCTTGTTCAGTGTTTCATCCCAAGGTCTAACTCAGTGCCTGCTGATACGTGCTCACAAATATTCATTAAATTAACTGAAGCTCAACAGACTGTTTGAGGAGTGCCTAAATTTACCACATGGAAAGTTAAAAGTCAAAACTTTCCCTTAAGTTCCCTGTCCCACAAATAATTTTATGTGTTGATTCTAGCTTCTATTAAGTCAGTAAACCATTCACATTTTATAAGAATGACTTTAAACTCAAAAATTGAAAATAGACTACATTTACATTTGAAATTTACAGACCAGTACCCTCATGTATACGCCCTCAATTTTATGTAAATAATATTGGGAAAATGGATGGTTAAGCTGCTAAATCTTAAGTTAATGTATAGGTACCAGATTTGCGTGAACTAGTCATTAGGTCCTAAGTTATAAACACTTTCAATAGATAAGTAAATAGGCAACATAATTTATAATTGTTAATGTTTTTGCTGTTTTTACTGGAAGTAATTAGCATCTCCAAACCACAAAAGTTTGGTTCATTTATATAATACTCATCAAATGCACCTGAATGGCCACCTTTATGAGATTTTAATTGTCAAAAGATCTCATTCGTGTTGATGTTTGGCAGAAACCAACAAAATTCTGTAAAGCAGTTATCCTTCAATTAAAAATAAATTTAAAAAAATTTTAAAAACCACAAATACACACACGCAATAAAAAAAATCAGAAGAGGAATGGGAAATTTGTAGCAAATGATACTTGGAATAGGAAGGTGCACAGCTTAAGTGTATACATCATTGATGTCAACCCCTGCTATTTCCTTCCATGCTTTGAACATCCTTAAATAAATGAAGGAAAAAGAATTACAGAGATGCTAAAAGAATGAGAAGGAAAAAGAAACGGATTACTAAAGCCAAAATATATATATTCTACTTAAAAACAAGACATGGGCAAGAGGCATTTAGTAATTGCCTCTGAAGTGTGGTTTGCCATATATTGCAGTCCAAGTTCAGTTGACGATCTAAGTCAACCCTGATCTTACTCCTTTTCTGTCACCAAATAGGATTTTCTGGCGTCGGCAGGTTCACTTGATGTCAGGGATCCGGCCCAGCACAATCACCAGCTCCTTCCCCCAACTTATGTCCAATGTGGATGCAGCTTACGAAGTGGCTGAGAGGGGCACAGCCTACTTCTTTAAAGGTACGCTGAAGATCCCGCCAAGAAAGAAGTGGCGGGGCACAGGACACGGTGTGTCTGGAGCACCCAGAACCATCAGTGCTTGGTAGCGACCACAGAGCAGTTCCAGCCATTCCTGCTCCTCAGACTGGGGATGAAACATCCCTCTACCGTCTTGTGACGCTGACAGCAGTGACGGTGACTAGCAAACTCTTCCAGAGCCAAAGATGCAGTCCGGTGAGGCTCGGTGATAAGCGAGTGTCCGGGAAGCTAGAAACCTGCTCCCTGCCCCGCCCTGCCACCCCGCTCCCCAGACCTCTGCTCTGAGTGACATGGTATTCTCTACTGAGAGCCTCTAATTCACAAAAGTCAGCGTGGAAACCTCAGCAAAGCAGTACAAGCATTTGGGAGCAGAGAGACGGCTGGACTCTGTCTCCAGCCCCTTACTATTTGAGAGCCTTGGGGAACATATCCAATTGCTCTGCATCTTCATTTCTTCCTGTGCAAAATAGTTATTGTAATAACAACCTTGAAGATGTGACTGTAGCTAGCCAATGGAAATTGTCCAGCAAATGTTAGCTATCAGTTTGGATTGTATTTTCTTAATGCCAAGGGCTGAGGATAGAAGATTAGTGCCAATTTAAGCAAGAATCAGCATTTGTGTTTCACTTGCCCCTTCCTTCTCTCTCACACATATATAAGACTGAAATGAGATTATACAGATGAGAAGTATCTTGAAAAAAATGAATGTGTTGCATTTAAGACACAGTTGTATCAGTATTATTGCCTTCATAAGGCATAACTAGGGATTTCTGCCTCCAGGGCGTGTTTTAAGTCTTTTACTGAACTGAATAGAGACTTGTATCTCCTCCTGGGTTGTAGCCATGGCAAATAACCCATAAACTAGCCCCATTTGTAATCCTGCATAGAAATCCTAATGAGTGAAGGGCATCACTAAAGAGTACGGAGTTTTTGTAAACTTTAATTTCTGGTTCCAGGACCCCACTATTGGATAACAAGAGGATTCCAAATGCAAGGTCCTCCTCGGACTATTTATGACTTTGGGTTCCCAAGATATGTGCAGCGAATAGACGCCGCGGTCTATCTCAAGGATGCACACAAGACCCTTTTCTTTGTGGGAGATGAATACTACAGGTATGGCTTTTCTCTTTGTGATTGTCCAGCTGTATTCAATGAGAAGGAAAAATCCTTTTGCTGAAAAGAATGCCAGGCAAATTTACAATAGGCCCATTGACTCTTCTCAGTCACTAGGGTGTCATTTACTGATGGTTGACACTGTCTTCAAGATACAGAACCATCCAAATAAGTGAAACATTCATTCAATAATCCCACTGTTTGGTGTCTAACACATGAAACATCCTAATCTTTCAAAGCACTCATTAGCTGGATGCCCAGTGGCCTAAAAGAGTGGAGGTACTATTTCCAATACATACCTACCATGAATGCCTTGAAAGAAGAACTGATTCCTTCTTACGTGAGTATATCTTATTGATGCATGAATATCGCTGCATTCCAGAATGCTCTGTGATTTTGTACAAAATGAATGTGGTGATGACTGTGGGGCTCTTTGAAGGAAATTTTTGCTGAAAGGCAAAGGCCTTATTGCTATGTTCTTTAACCTAGAACATGAAAATTCTTCTTATCCAAACAAAGATCATGTATAATTTCCAGGCCTGTCTTATAAAAGGTTACTATGAGCAGATTCAATCACTGTACACAGGGTCACACCTCGTCTCTCCTGCCTCAGCTCACTACCTTAACTGACTCACGTTGAAGAACTGGGTACAACTTTGTCAAGCTCTGCCTCTACACCTTCTCTAGTCACAGTTCTCACTTCAGCATTCCTTGTCTTTCTGAACTTTAAGAGAGAAGCAAAAACAGATTCTAAACAGGTAACTATGCTAAACTCTGTAGGTCTATGTTAGGACCTTGTTGGCAGTGGAAAACAACTCAGCTTTGGTCTAAGGGTTTTCATTTTATTTTATATTTCCTGTTTTTAATAACCATATCTGTGGTATAAAATAAATTTATAAATACATATCTATCATCTTCCTCTACTTCTTCAGTTTAGATCTAACAGAAGCACAGATATACTTCAGGAAAATGTATTTCATAAAAATGAATGTCACATGTGGACCCTCCAGACTCTTCTGAGGCACTGAGAGCCTTGGAAGCGTTGCTCAAAGTGTCTTGTGTTGTCATGCGTTGACACTTCCAGTCCAGTGTTTAACCATTAAGCCAGCTAATTTTCTTTCAGAACTTCCTTTATAAAATAGGAATAGTTATTCACTTATTAAGTCCCTAGTATCTGATGGCCATGTTCTCCAAAGTTTTTCTTCAAGATAAGGTGGCTGTCATCACCATGCTGACCTACGGGGAGATACATATTAAGAAACTCAACTCCCATTTTAGGTTTTCAGAGAATGGTGTCCAGAGATGGAGTGTATGAGCTGGCGTGTCAGAGTGTGAGTTGTGATTATCCATTTAACTGGTCAAAGTCTGTTAACAGCTTGATTCTCCCTGGGGGGATTATCCACTCTCATGGTTTCTATTATCCATTCATTGCCTAGGACTTTGGTTCTAGTCTTTGGACTAATACTACTACCCACTAGAACCCAAAGTCAAACACATACCTCCAACCAAGCAGGACTGAGGCTGAACAGCTGACATGAGGAGCTTGGTGAAAGGTTTTTAATTCTCTGTAAATTAAGGAATGGGAGGGAGAGGATCTCTGATATTAATGATGGCTAATAACCCCTGTGGAAATAATACTGAAACTGTCCAACTGAACCTCTATGAGATTCTATTAAGAAAAGTCTTTGGCAATCTAGATAAAGCAAATTCATTGAAAGTTGACCTAGGACATTAATTCAAATATTAAAGAGCTCATTTTGCCAGAAAGGAAAAGAAGCCACAGTAGCCACTTTTGATATTAACCTCCCTGGGTTACTGAGAGTATTTAGTGAAATAATGGATGTAGCTACCTAATACACTGCCTAACATATTGCAGGTGCTCAAAAAGAGTAACTCTTTAGTAATAAAAGGAACTTATAGGTTGTTGTTGGCCAGTCGCTCAGTCGTGTCCGACACTTTGCCACCCCATGGACTGCAGCACACCACGCTTCCTGGTCCCTCACCAACTCCCAGAACTACTCAAACTCATGTCCATTGAGTGGGTGATGCCATCCAGCCATCTCATCCTCTGTTGTCCCCTTCTCCTTCTGCCTTCAATATTTCCCAGCATCAGGGTCTTTTCAAATGAGTCAGCTCTTTGCATCAGGTGGCCAAAGTATTGGCGCTTCACCTTCAGCATCAGTCCTTCCCATGAATATTCAGGGCTGATTTCCTTTAGGATGGACTGGTTGGAATCTTTGTAGTCCAAGGGACCCTCAAGAGCCCACTGTTCTCCAACACCACAGTTCAAAAGCATCAATTCTTCAGCACTCAGCTTTTGTATAGTCCAACTCTCACATCCATACATGACTATTGGAAAAACAATAGCCCTGACTAGATGGACCTTTGTTGACAAAGTAGTGTCTCTGCTTTTCAATATGGGATCTAGGTTGGTCATAGCTTTTCTTCCAAGGAGCAAATGTCTTTTAATTTCATGGCTGCAGTCACCATCTGCAGTGATTTTGGAGCCCAAGAAAATAAAGTCTGTCACTGTTTCCATTGTTTCCCCATCTATTTCCATGATGTGATGGGACCAGATGCAATGATCTTTGTTTTTTGAATGTTGAGTTTTAAGTCAGCTTTTTCACTCTCCTCTTTCACCTTTCTCAAAGGCTCTTTAGTTCTTCTTCGCTTTCTGCCATAAGGGTGGTGTCATCTGCATATCTGAGATTATTGATATTTCTCCCAGCAATCTTGATTCCAGCTGTGCTTCATCCAGCCCTGTATTTCACATGATGTACTCTGCATATACGTTAAATAAGCAGGGTTCCCAATTTGGAACCAGTCTGTTTTTCCATGTCCAGTTCTAACTGTTGCTTCTTGACCTGCATACAGGTTTCTCAGGAGACAGGTCAGGTGGTCTGGTATTTCCATCTCTTGAAGAATTTTCCACACATTATTGTGACCCACCCATCAAAGGCTTTAGCATGGTCAATGAAGCAGAGGTTGATGTTTTTCTGGAAGTCTCTTGCTTTTTCGATGATCCTACAGATGTTGGCAATTTGATCTCTGGTTCCTCTGCCTTTTCTAAAACCAGCTTGAACATCTGGAAATTATTAGTTCATGTACTGTTGAAGCCTGGCTTGGAAAGTGTTGAGTATTATTTTGCTAGCCTGTGAGATGAGTGCAATTGTGCAGTAGTTTGAATATTTTTTGGTGTTGCCTTTCTTTGGGATTGGGATGAAAACGGACCTTTGCCAGTCCTGTGGCCACTGCTGAGTTTTCCAAATTTGCTGACATATTGAGTGCAGCAGTTTAACAGCATCATCTTTTAGGATTTGAAATAGCTCAGCTGGAATTCCATCACCTCCACTAGTTTTGTTCCTAGTGCTGCTTCCTAAGGCCCACTTGACTTGACACTCCAGGATGTCTGGCTCTAGGTGAGTGATCACACCATCATGGTTATCTGGGTCATTAAGATATTTTTTGTATAGTTCTTCTGTGTATTCTTGCCACCTCATAATATCTTCTGTTAGGTCCATATGGTTTCTGTCCTTTTTTTGTGACCATCTTTGCATGAAATATTCCCTCAGTATCTCTAATCTTCTTGAATAGATCTCTAGTCTTTCCCATTCTATTGTATTCCTCTATTTCTTTGCACTGATCACTTAGGAAGACTTTCTTATCTCTCCGTGCTATTCTTTGGAACTCCATTCAGATGGATATATCTTTCCTTATCTCCTTTTCCTTCAGCTTCTCTTCTTTTCTCAGCTATTTGTAAGGCCTTCTCAGACAACCATTTTGCCTTTTTGCATTTCTTTTTCTTGGGGATGGTCTTGATCACTGCCTCCTGTACAGTGTCACGAACCTCCATCCATCACCCTTCAAGCATTTTGTCTATTAGATCTAATCCCTTGAATCTATTTGTCACTTCCACTGTATAATTGTTTGTGATTTGATTTAGGTCATACCTGAATGGTCTAGTGGTTTTCCCTACTTTCTTCAATTTAAGTCTGAATTTGGCAATAAGGAGTTCATGATCTGAGCTACAGTCAGTTCCCAGTCTTGTATTTGCTGACTGTATAGAGCTTCTCCATCTTCAGCTGCAAAGAATATAATCAATATGATTTTGGTATTGGCCATCTGGTGATGTCCTTGTATAGAGTTGTCTTGTGTTGTTGGAAAAGGGTGTTTGCTATAACCAGTGTGTTCTCTTGGCAAGACTCTGTTATCCTTTGCCCTGCTTCATTTTGGAGGCAGGTTAAACTTGCCTGTTATTCCAGGTATCTCTTGACTTGCTACTTTTGCATTCCAGTCCCCCATGATGAAAAGGACATCTTTTTTTCAGTTCTAGAAGGTCTTTTACGTCTTCACAGAACCATTCAACTTCAGTTTCTTCAATATTAGTGGTTGGGGCATAGACCTGGATTGCTGTGATATTGAATGGTTTGTCTTGGAAACACACAGAGATCATTCTGTCATTTTTGAGACTGCACCCAAGTACCACATTTCAGACTGTTTTGTTGACTATGAGGGCTACTCCATTTCTTCTAAGGTATTCTTGCCCACAATAGATCCAATGGTCACCTGAATTAAATTCACCCATTCCAGTCCATTTTAGTTCACTGATTCCTAAAATGTCAGTGTTCACTCTTGCCATCTCCTGTTTGAACTTATATGGTAATTAACAAATAATTGCTTAAAATATTGTGATAATTAACAAGTGATTACTTAAACCTAAATATTCCTATATATAGCAATCCAGTCAAAGAGTTCATCAAAGGGAATTTTCTTTTTAAACACTGAAGTACCTTGACATTGCACCGAAATCTCTGCTTCTGGCAAGGCAGATACAGTACTTTCAGCAATGGGAGTCTTCTGTTTTACACTTTCCAATACACACACTGGTTTGCACAATAAGAAATGTGACAAATAACCTTGACCTACAGCTCAGAAGTTCAGGAAAAGCTAATGTATCATTTTATTAATAACTGCCCCCCTGTGTTTGACACATTTTGCTC